GGGATCCTTCGCCGAAGAGAGTGCTAGCTGCGAGCCTCTCTGGGTCTCACCTCCACGCGGGGCGAAGGGGTAACAGCAATTTGCTGGCGAACGAGACAGCAGTCAGCAATTATGCCTGTGGGCATAAATGCTGAAAGTCTGCACCGGGCTGCCTCCCCGGGAACGACATAAAACAACTTGGCACTAGGAACGAAAATAAGCGGACGACAAAGACAAAACTAACGGGTACCAGAATTGCTACGTGGAACTGCCGTTCCTTCCCAATGGTTCTAAATAAGAGTAGCAAGCCGGCTACGATCATGTCTGAACTGGAGCGACGAAAATGTGATATTGTTGTACTGACGGAGACGCGACAATGGCTTGTCGAGCCTCGCGCAACTCAATGGGATAACTGGACGATAATGGAATATCCGACTTCCACTAAGTTCGAAGGAGTGGCGGTAGCACTCAGAAACGGTTGGACTGTTAAGAAGGAGAATGTGTTGAGCTCTAGAGTGGTCATGGCGAACTGTGTTAATAATAAAACTGCTAGGGGAATAAACCTGATCGCAGTGTATGGATGCACACAGTCGACCGACGCTGACAAGCAAATCGAGTTCTGGGGCGAACTAAGAAATGCGATAGAAATGGCACCTAAGAAAATCCCTCTAGTCGTTGCAGGGGACTTCAACAACGAGTTGAAGAAAGGTACAGAGCTAAGTCAGCTGCTGGAAGACTGTGCGCTGAATGCACATGCGAGGCAGTTTGCGAACAAAAAGAAGCACACGTGGTGGCACCCGAGGACAAAAAAGGGAAGAACCATTGATCACATCTTGTGGCGGAAATGGGAGAACAAACGAGTCAGAAATGCGCATACGGCACCACTCAGAAGGAAGATATCAGACCATGCCCTCGTGGTAGTCAACTTCGACATAAAGCACAGAAGAGAAATGAAAAAAGTGAGGACGTTCGTGGGGCGACCGCAGTGGACAAAATATAGTGAATATATGAGCGCAACCACGGCGCTTGACTGGGACGACTACGCGAAAAGCTGCAGGGAGGCCATGGTGAAGGCCACGGAATCCCTAACAAAAACAGAAGATCTGACGGAGGTCACCTATAACAGGTGGCTGACGACGATCAATGAGAAGCTGGCAGCAGTCAACAGTGGTCACGGACTCACTTGCGAAAAATTTCAGACTCTGAACGAAATAGATGCCCCCCCCCGCAGAAGGGAGCTACTTGTCATTGTTGACCCTAGGGGAAACAGGCTGATGGGCCGTAATGCGAAAGTTGAAATCTCTCTCCATATCCAGCGCCAGCTCAACACAACCAACTTCTGGGAGTTCGATCAAAAAATGTCCCCGTACCCTCCTCCACCTGAACGGACACAATGCCCCATAACGAGGTTAGAAGTGCGGCAAGCAATCATGAGGCTGAAAAATAACAAAGCGGTTGGCTCTGACGGAATCCCAGCAGAAGCCCTGAAGACTGATCTCGATCAAGCTTCTAAGTTGCTGGAATATGAATACGGCAGACTATGGGAAGGATTCCCGTTGCCTCACGACTGGTTGCACACCGAAATACTGCCAATATACAAAGGAAAAGGATCAAAGAGTGACCCGGCGAATTATCGACCGATTGCGTTGTTGAACACGGCAGTAAAAATACTGGGAAGCATTGTGGCCGACAGAGTGAATGCAGCAACGGCGAACAGAATCTCGGACAGCCAAAGTGGCTTCCGAAGAGGCCGATCCACCATACACAATGTTATGTACATTCAGACCTACTTGAGAGAGAGCTACAATCGACGAAAGGAAACCGTAGTGATCCTCATAGACCTAAAGGCAGCGTTTGACTCGGTACCCAGGCAGCTGGTATGGAAAGCGTTGGAATACTATAATGTTGGCGATAAGTTGATCGGAGTGATCAGGAGCATGCATCAAAATACGACGGCAGCAGTGAAGGGCACCGAACGAACTTTTGGATACTCTGGGGGAGTTAAGCAAGGATGCTCCCTAGCGCCAACATTGTTCAAAGTATTCATGTCATATATCATGACTGCGTGGCAACCGGCTGAAAATCTGAAAGTCAAACACTTAGAATATGCCGATGATATAGCATTGGTAGTGGGGCGACATGTTGCACAGACTGTGTATGATGCGATCACCTCGCATCTTGAAAGAAATGGGCTAAAAGTGAACCACTTGAAAACCGTACTAATCTCCAACCAGTGCGAGGACGTACTTGAGACCGACAAAGGAGTGATCCCGAGTCAACGGGAAGGAAAGTACCTGGGCTTCATGCTACAAGCCAATGGTGGCACAGAGACGGAAGTGGCAGCGAGGAAGATGGCAGCTCGACTCAAACTTACAAAAATGAGCAGAATATGGACCAGCGCACTGAGACCTGAACTCAAAATAATGACGATGGCAGTCTACGTGCTGCCGGTGTTGTTATACGGGTGCGAAGCCTGGATCCTAACGAAGACGGCGGCCATTAACTCCTCAACCAGGGTACTCGTCAGGCGCAGCCTCAATTGGTATTGGGCGGAGAAACGTACAAGTCGGGAACTCGTTGCAGCAACCCCGAAAGCCCTACGGTCGCTATTGTGTATCGATACGGTCATCCTACAACGGCAAATCAAATTTGCGCACAACGTGGCCCGTGCACAGGGAGGAAGCGAACTCTTCAGATGGATTTTGAACCCGAGGCTGCCAGGTAAGAAAAAAGTGGGAGCATACCGGACTTGGTGGGATGCGCTAGTGCGCGCGTTGAGTAAATCGGATATCAAGTTCAATCCCAGTGAGGGAATCGAGCAACTCGCAACCATTGAAAGCAGGCTAAAACAACTTAGAGATGCCGAAATTGACCAGTTGAAAGTGGCCACAGAACGTTCGAAGGCCCGGCCGACCCACATGCTTACATGCGGTGTAGGAGGGTGCCCCCGAACATATAAGACGGCAAAAGGCCTGATCGCTCATCAGAGGCAAACCCATCAAGTCGCAAAAGATACAACAGTGAGGATGGACAGACGCGAAAAGAAAATCGAGGGAAGAAGCGAACTATGGATATGTGATGGATGCGGCCGAATATCAACGAAGAGCGGATTGTCGCGGCACAAATGTCAGAAGGCAAACCCCACGCGCACAAAGTACCCGGATAGACGTTGAGAGGGTCTTCTAACGTTTTTGCTTCTCAACCACGATAAAAAGTGTATACC